CCCTTACTCTCTGGCGCTCAAGAGGTAGAGGAGCCAAATGGCGGCTCACTGCTGCCAACTAGTGGTCAGAGGCTGAACTACAACATAAAAATGAATGGCTGGTAAGAAGGTTGACATTTTAAACCTTAATTAAAAATCGATACAGGGCTTTAGAATATCGATACAGTATCGGGAAATAAAATATCGTGATATTTCAGTGTATCGATATTTTCTTACACCCCTAGTATTGACTGTGTTTTATTGTAGTAAATCATAAAACTGATGGTTATATTTTAGAACACACTATCCTTAATTTCTATTGCCATTATTGGAAAACTTAGATGTGTAACTGTTGCTACATTGCTTTACTTTTTCAGGWTTTTCTTCATAGAGGAGAGTTGCACATCCTTCCTTGCCCCTCTAAAKCCAGTTCAGTGGGCTTCTCGCGTGATGTGGTGCCCAGTGTGGCACAGGCTCTGACGTTCCTCTCTACTCACCCCGAGGCCTGTCAGGCCAGCCCCAAAATACGTTCAGCTGTAAAGAAGAGGCTAAAAGGGTGAGAAAGAGAGAGCTTCACACAATAACAAACCTTTGTTATCTAAAACTCTCAGCCCTGATAAATACTGTTGACACAACCTTCTGCATTCCTGCTGAGCCGATTTGTGATTAGCRATAAGAGCAACACCAACAAATGTCATACAGACTGGAATGTTTTAGTTTTTAACTACATATTAAAATAAATGAAATCTCTCTTTCCCCATTTAGGTTCCCAGAGAAGATTCAGAGTAACCTCCATCKTGCCCACTGCTTCATACCTGCAGGYATTGCCACYGTATTGGCGCTGCGTCCAGACCTGGTCGCCCCTGCAGTTTCAGCTTTTTACCTGCGAGATCCCGTGGACCTGCAGGCCTGTCGAAGCTTCAGGACGTTTCCTCCTATGACAAGAGTCCTCACTTTGGTAAAGATAAACCAACATTTATAAGTGTAGTATAAATTTTTTTCTTTCCTCAGATTTTTCAGAATTGTCCCCCATTATTCAAACTTGTAACTCGTATGTTACCAGGTGACGTTCACCCGCTGCTTGTACGCCCAGCTGCAGCAGCAGCATTTCATCCCAGACCAGAGGAGCGGCTTCAGCCTGCCTCCTCGCTCGCATCCTCAGTATAAGGCTCACGAGCTCGGCGTAAAACTGGTAAAGMATCATTTGTGATTTCTGTGGGAAGCCAGCGCGCAGATAAGTGGCTGTGCGAGTGTTGTGTGAACCCGTGTGTCGTGTTTGCGCTCTGCTCCCAGGCCCATGGTTTTGAGATCTTGTGCTCCAAGTGCAGGCTGCCTTCTTCAGAGCCTGAYGCTCCGGCGAGTTGCAACCCTCGGTGGAAGGCCTTCTTGAAAAGTCTGAGAAARAACGATTACTTCCGGGTCAGTCGCACTAATTTCATTTAGTCTCGCTTTACAAATGAATAAGAAAACTCTACTGTACGATGACTAAAATGTGATCGTTGTCAAATGCAGGGAGAGCTAGAGGGTTCGGTTCTTTACAAAGAACGTTTGAGATCAGCAGAAATTTTCTTCAACCAGTCTATTGCTTCAGAGTTGAGGTAAGGATTTACCTTGTGCATGAAAAAAAAAACATCGCCTTTCTTCCTTGGTATTTTGAGTTTAAAGCAGTTTGTGATATTTCAGAACATATTGTGCCATCTGCTCGTGGCTATCAAAGTAATCTCCATGAAAAGGAATGTATCAATATTGTAGCTGATCATGAGACTACCTGCTTTTGATGCTTCTGAATGTGTTTGCTGTGTATCTCGTTTCAGCTCTCTGGTGCCGGGTGAAGAAGTTCTTCAGCTGCTTCAGAGCAACCCGTTCAACTTGGAGGAGCTAAAGAAGCTCGAGTCACAAATCCCTCCAGAGGACAGTGAGTAAAACAACTAACTAACTAACTAACTAACTAACTAACTAACTAACTAAATAAATTGAAAAATCTTTAAAATGTTTGCCATTTATAACTACTTTTTTGTATCCCTGTATCAGTTTTAAAGGGGCAATATTACGTGTTTCTCAGGTATACATTTAAATACTATACCATAATAAAGTAGCTATGTCACCTTTAGTAAATAAGTAAGTAAGTAAAGTTTTATTTATATAGCGCCTTTCACAGAAATAAATTCACAAGGTGCTGTACATTCAGGGAAGTGGGGAGGGGGCAGTTAAGACAGGTCATGCAGCAAACATAGTTGCGCTACCTTTATGTAAGAAAATTTCCACGTTGTGCTGTATCGCTTAGGGTGATTTGCATACACATTTGTGCCTTAATGCGAACATATAGCTTATTATAAATTTCTTATTTTAGTTCACATGATTTAGTCATGTGAAAAGGGGGATTGAAGAAATTTATATTTATTAGAGGTTAGTACTGATGTTAAAAGCACACCACTATATTTTTAGGTTTTCCTTTTTATAATGTTTAATCTATTATGTTTTGATTGATAGAGATTAGTTACATGTCCGAATTATAAACGACACATAATTAAAACGTTATATTAACATTAGATGAGAATTTTGTATGAATGCCTGTGATTCAGCTGTAGGTCAGTAGGGGGCGAACGCAGGCATTGAAGAATCATGTATAAACTGATGCACTTCCTGGCTTTTGGCCAGTGTGGTTTCCTGTCAGCTCCGGTGGCAATAAACCCACTTGGTTCCAGAGTTCTGGTGTTGTATGGTTTTATTCCTTCTACAAATCATCTTATTTAACAGTGGTGGTTTTCATATTGACTTAACTTCAGTCTATTGAACACGTGTTTTTCTTACATTTAGACAAACAGAAAAACTAAAAACCACACAAGGGAAAATGAGGAAAAAAGCAGAAACATCATATCAGCACTGTGACACACTATGGTGTTTATGAAAAAACCTCTGCATAGAGCAAGATTATTAGCCAAAGGAGTAAGTGAGTTTTAAGGGGGCCCGAAGAATCCAGTCCCCAAGGCCAGCGCAGCCAAAGTTCAGAATATTAATGGTCAATTGCTCATTCTGTGGGCCCTCAGCTTCCTCAGGAGTCAGATCATACGGGTGAGGGAGGAGGGAGGGGGGAGAGCCGTGTCAACATCTTCCAACCAGGAAGGATTTAACCAACAGATCCAAGGCCGTTGCCGGGGAGATCCAGATTCTCTAATCAGTTGTTTTGTGAACAGAAAGGGGCAGACAGACAACGACAATTTCTCCTCTGCCTTAATGTCTACTGGTACTCTCAAGGTGACGAATCCAATCAGGCAAAATGGTGTGGACACATACCGCCGTCCCAGAGGCGTTTCTGGTCCCCACCTGTCGTTTTGCTCCTCAGCATGGCTGCCTAAAAACGCTGCAGGATTTCTCAAACATGCATGAATGARTCAAAGCAAGGCTTTGGGCATGTTTTTTTATGAGAGTATAACATTATAACATAAAACTCAAAAAAGTTGATTTTACATGATATTGCCCCTTTAAAGTCATTTTCTTCAGTTCACCATGTTCAATTCAGTCCATCTGTTGAAACTTCCCCTCTGTTTCCCATAACAAGTTTTTCCCCTCTTTGTTGACCTCCAGGTGACAGCTGGCTGGATATCACAGCTCAGGATTTAGAGCAGTTACTGCAGGAGAGAGGCAGCAGGAGAGCTGGCGGCGAAAGCTGCAGTTCCAMGAAACCGAAGCAGCAGGCCGAGGATGCGGAGGCGAGGAGAAAAGAAACKGAGGACAAGGAGGAAGAGGAGGCTGGTTATAGCTTGGTAGCCGTCAGTCAGGGGATGAAGAACTTCCTCAGTGCCATGTCATCGCACGAGGGGGCTGAGCTGCCCTGGTGAGACAGTGATTAAGTGTTGAGTTTGAGTCCCATTTTTTCTTTTTTTTTTTTTTTTGATGAAAAAAAAAAAAGAGTTTGAGTCCCATTAATGGAAGCCGTAAACATTAGAGTCTAAATATGTCTGTAGATCTATCATGTGCATACCTTTATGAACTTCCCTTAACCGTCAACGGTTAGTGGGATCACTGTATTGCTAGTTTCACCACACATAATCTGCCGACTTTTCTGCTTTCTGTTTGACCTTTGCCATTTTCCTTCCGTGTATTTCAGGAGCAGCGTAACTCAGCCTTTTAGCTTTGACCCTGACTCTATGGCTGACGCTGTGGACAAACTACTTGGTACAAACAATTATTAAATACGTCTCACAGTGAAAACCCTGCCAAGTGTTCCTCTTGTTTCGGTCATCTGTATTTTATTTCTTTAGGAAACAAAGAAGAACTAGATTCAGACGATCTAGACGATGACGACTTTGAAGATGACGATGAGGAGGATGAAGAAAAAGAGGWCTCCCCTGATCAGACGAGTGGAACAGAGACTCTGGACAGCCTCAAAAGATACATGGATGAAATGGATGAGGAGCTGCTGAGCACCAACGTAGGACAAAGCTTCGCTCAGACGGTAAATCCTTCTTAGGTCTTCATCTTGTTAATATGCTGTGTGCTTCTCGGCTTTAATATTGAGAGATTATACAAAAAAAAAATGCTCCAGCTGAAATAAACTCATCGAAATGTTTATGATTTCCTCAGAATTACAAGTCTGCCTTGGACAGCGGCTCCTCTTCTTCCTCAGCGGCAGACGGTTTCTCCAGGGTGGATGGAGGAATGGAAGAGACAGAAGAAGAGATCCAGCCTTTAGATATTGACGTTAATTTAGTCGCAAATCTCCTGGAGTCCCTCAGCAGCCAGGCCGGGCTGGCCGGACCTGCTTCGAACCTGCTGCAGAGCCTGGGTTTACATCTGCCACCCAACTCGGATCCTTCATAGACGAGCAAAAAAAAAAAAAAAACGAAAGAGGACTAAAAAAAGAAGTCAAGGAATGCACGACACACAGCAAATTCCTCTGCCTCCATTATAATAAACTTTATCCTTTTACAATAACTCTCCATATGTCGACAAGTCAGAAAGGTATGCCGAACAATTATGGAGAAAAGAAAGCTCCTGCTTGCCTATAATACAAAATGTGTTCAACTTTAAGTCAGTAAATGCAGAGAAAAAAAATAATGTGTAGTTATTCCCTGTCTTGTCATGAGATCTTAACCTGTAAGGAACAAATTAAAAATCAAAAACACTGCAGGGCTTGGGGGGGAAGGGGGGGGGGTTAATTCCATGTTTGTTTAAACTGACAGTGTACTCTAAATCCAAGTTGCAGTTTTTTTAAATATTATTTTGTAATAGATGTGTTCATTGATGTTTTTCCTCAACACTCAGAATAAAGTATTTTTTTTCCAAATAGTTTTAATTGTCTTATTCAATTTGCACAGAATATTTTTATGCAACCATATTAAAATATCTCATTTGTTTCATGATGAATGTACACACACACAAAAAAAAAAACATTCTAAAATGTAAAACCTGTTAACAGAAATTGATGCCCAAATAACTTATTTTAAAACTATATTGCAATTAAGAATTGGAAAGTAGCTTAGAAACACATTTAAAAAAGAATTACATTTTTCTCACTATCTCCCCTCATTTCCTCTGACAAACAAGCTGTCTGAATCATTTAGAGGCATCCTCAACATACTGATAAAAAAAAGCAATTCAGATAAAATACTTTTAACACTGATGAGGAAACACGCATAAAGTGAAAAAAAAATCAAAACAAAAAAACTTCAGGATTCCTTCTCTGAAAAATCAGAATCAACAAAGGAAAAACAATAACTCCTCAAAGATCTGGTTAAATCTCTTCAGTGGAGGAGAAAAGTGGAAGCTTAAACTCTTAAATACTGTTATTTGTTACAAATGAAAAGGAGTCAAACAGTGGGTGCTAAAAACACTTAAAACAAGACACTATTGCAAAATAAGAGTTTAGTTTTTCATAAACAGACGTAAATTGCTTTTAAATTAAAGGAATTTTTCATGTGAAAGACTAAATTTGATAACTACAATAAAACATTTTGGACATTTAAATGGTTTAGTTATAACTGTTTACTTATGACATTGCCACTTTCAGGCAAATAGTTATTAAAAGTTCTAAAYGTTCTTGTAGAAAGACTTACTGAGGTAAAACAGGCATGTAGCATCTGTTAGTATTTATGTGAAATATCTAACTCAACAGGAACAGGCATTGGCATTTGTTGAAATGATTGCTTTAGCAGACTAGAAAGCACCGTTGGTTCTGAGCAGAGGTCAGTAAACTGAGCAGGGTGTGTTAATGGTTAGGCTATAMTCCTAAATTTGTCTAGCTGAGCAGATTATTTTAGTGATTAGATAGACTCCAGCTAACAAAATCCATTAATAATTTACTCAGGACGCACCTGTTTGACAGTTTAGGTGCTAAGGCTAATATTTAAAGGGGCAATATTATGTTTCTCAGGCATATATTTAAATACTATACCATAATAAAGTAGCTATGTCACCTTTAG